GAAGCATCTAATAGTGCGCTTACAGCGCACTAGTAAAAATTCTTATTTTCTGGGTGCTAATCTGCTAAATAGTAAATTTTGGGGCCTGCTCTTCATATCTAAGAGTCAAATCAAAGCGTCTAATAGTGCACTTACAGCGCAGTTGTAAACATTCTTATTTTCTGGGTGCTGAACTGTACATTCAAAATATGTATTATAGACAAGTTAAAAACAACACTACAAGTCATGCTATAACAAAATGAAACAAGTTTTAAAATATGTATGAGCCAGTGGCTGTAAAAACAAAAAGTTTAACTGGTTATATTCATGACTACGCCCTCTAGTGAACAGGACCGTCTACATCTTTAAAATGAAATAACCCACAGAAGATGGGAGAGAATATTTTTTGCAAATGGAACTTTGATTCAAATTATCGGTCACTTGTAATATTGTTTCACACCTACAACACTTGTTACACAGATCTAAGTGATAGAAAACAGATTGATATTTTCTACACCAGAAACTACCAGATAACAAGCTGCTATATTTAAACCAGCTATCAATAGCTAAGAGTTACTTAAACAATATTGTAATTCTGGGGCAATACCCTCACAAGTCAAACTGAGAGGTCAGTTTATATGGAAAACTGTTGCCTGGATACAAATCTAAAACAATTTCCATATGTCCTTTGCATACTTTACATACTGGAAAAACACAGGTGCCAACTGCTGTAGCTTTCTGCAGTGTGCATACCGGCAAGGAGGGCAGGTTTGAGGAGTGGGTTGAAGATGATGTGGAGGATGATGAGGTCCTAGACCCCACATGGAATCAAGATCATGCGTGTGATGTGTGCAGTTTGGAGGAAGAGGCGCTGGTCGCACAGAGGCACCAGCACAGCAAGGTGCAAAAGTGGAGCGGCCGTCCTGTAGCGCTCGTCGGCATGTATTATCTTTAGTAATTCCCACAGTTATCCAAGTAACAGTTGAAGCAATAAAAAGAACCATAACAGATTTTTTTTTTTTTAATGTCTTAAGTTTTTATTGATATGTTTTTCTTGATATGTTTTTCGTTAGCTTCATAATCAACAGTTCAGAAAGATAACACAAGGGGGGGTACAGAAAATAAAAGGGAAGGGGGAGCGGTTAATATATAGATCCTTACAGGTTTCTTGACATCGCAGGTCAAGGATTGCATTACAGATTCAAAGTACAGAATCAAAGTACAGAATTCAAGGTACAAATTGCACATATGAGATACAAGATACGAATAGTGCATGTATATTAGCGTAGGAGATGGGCAGTGTATGATAGGTATTGTAACCCTTCGATGGGGCCTGGGTCGTGGTGGATTATGATTTGGCTAGTTTTATTCCATATCAACATGTGCTACCTGTGTCAATCTATTTGGTGGGAGTGTATCTGCTGTACTAAAGAGCCATAGTCAGGCAAACCAAAACGTGGTACCCGAGACTTAGCTAGTACGGCTCGTCAGCATAGTATGATATATTCCCAGATTCATTTCTTCCATGGGGTATGTTATTTATTCACCGTTCATGTGCCCAGGATGCTAACTGTCTCTTCATCTGGCCTGTTTTTTAGATTAGACTCCTGCCCTTATGAATAGACAGTTGAGTGAGGTTGTGTAGGTGAGCATGGGGATCTGCGGTATGGTGTGGGTCTACCGAGGTCCTAAAGGGGTATTAGAGTTAGTCTCTAGCTCTCTGGTTGATCTCTAAACTGGGCCCAGCGTTGCCAGTGCCTGGTATAGGTATGTTCTTTACTTCAAAGGCGGCTGGCCATTCGTTCAAAGTTGCATGTTATGTCAAGGCGTGTTAGGACTTCTGTTAATTTCGGGCTTTGTTGTTGTTTCCATCTGTATGCTATTGCTATTTTGGCCGCAAGTAGACAATGAGTGAGTATGTGTACTTCATCTTCCCTGGGTGAATGTGGGAAAATGTGAAGCAGGTAGCATTCTGGGGATTTCGGCATTGTTATTTTCATCTCTTCTAAGAGGAACTGTTCTATTGCGTTCCAGAATGCACCTATTTTTGGGCATGTCCAAAATATATGAAGAAGTGTGCCTTCGTTGTTATGGCATCTCCAGCACATGGGGAACGCAGTGGGGTAGATATGCCCTAGGCGCGAAGGTACCATATACCATCTCATTAGTATTTTACAAAACGCCTCTCTGTGAGCCAGGCTATATGTGGTTTTCTTCAACCTGCCCAGAGCTTTCCGCCACATATCTTGGCTAATTTGTGTATGGAGATCCTTCTCCCATGCGCTCATATAAGAGGGGATTTCCTTATCTACTAGGGTCATGAGTGATGTGTAACAAAAGGATAATGCTTTTATGTCCTTCAGTTTTCCTTGGCACTTAAGGAGAAATCGTGGTGGTGGGAGCTGTCTGCCTCTATGTAGTTTGTGATCGTGTAGGATGTTTTTAATGCGTAGGTATGTGAATAGTTCCCTAAGCGGGAGGCTGAACGTCTGTTGTAGTGTTGGGAAGGGTGTCACTCCCGCATCATCGATCAGGGAGCTCACATGGAGAATACCCTGTCGTACCCAAGTGTCAAGGCACAGATCATGTGTGTGGAGTGTTAGTGATTGTAAAGGCGCGGCGTGTAGGAGGTCTCTACCTATTTCCAGTTTTAGGATCGACTGTCTCCATATACGGAGCAGTAGTTTCGTCAGGGGTAGGATATTAGAGTCCTGTACCTGCCGGTCCGCGCATGCCCAAAGGGCATCCATTACCGTTCCTTTTGCCATGCAGGCATTTTCTAGTGCCAGCCAGATGGGGGATGCCTTACCTTCCATGACCGTGAGG